ACTTTACATTATAATACCACCAAAATAACACTGTGATACAACTAAAATAATTCCAAATCCTCAACATTCACTTTACATTATGAATCATGATACTACCAAAAAAACATCGAACCCCAACTAATATTCTAATGAACAATAAGAAATGGAGAGCAAATACAATAATAACCACTGTATCACCATTATATTTCCTAAATAACACCACATCCCACCAAACCAAAACTTAGCGTTAAAACTCATCTAAAAATAGAGCAAACTTTATTAGCAATAAAATTACTCCTTAAAACCTAGAACTGCATTCAAACATCCTTCGTTAAAAAAATCTACCTGCCGATGCCCTTCTGCCGCATCTAAACTCTGCTCAATCTCATTATTCTCGGAAATATTCTGAGATTTCATCTTATTGTTATGATTCTCAGGAGTATTTTGAGATTCCACCAACATTTCTTCGTCAAAAATTATTTCCATCGAACCAGTTCCAGCGAACATGAGGGAAAAAATGAGAATATACCGAATCCCAATACCCTAAAACAGACAAAATGCCACTTTCTTCAATTGGCGGGAATCGAAAATGACAAAAAATCGTTTTTTTTTGGGCGGGATACGTCGGGTCGGGCATAAAAAAAGATTATTTTTAAGCTGTAAAGCCACGTGGAATCGCATTCCACGTGGTGAATTTTTATTCGGTACCGCATGCAGGAGTTCATGCGGTGCACGTACCGAATAAAAATTCTTCCTCCAGTCTCCCGACTTTTGACCGTCATTTTGTCTCTTATTTATAAAAATATATTTGGTGCAATTATAGAAAGAATGAAATGGTTATGAAAACCGTTCTTAAATTGATGTATGTTCTAATAAATTATATGAATTTCATTTCCTATATGTATTACAATTTTAATTTTGATATGACAGTAATTTGTTGGTAGATTAGCTAGAATGCGGCCGACTAGATGGCGGTCGTGCTTTATGTTTGGTTGACCGAGGTGTTCGATCGAACTACGATCTCATCCACTGCGACAAGTGCAGGTCAACCATCAAATCACTACTGGAGGGTTTCTGCTTGTACTTATGTCAATCGGTTGGTTGACTAAATAGTCAATTTGTTTTTTTCGAGTGAACTGTGACTCACTTGTTGCTTTGGCTCAAGTCTTATGGGCATGCATTTAGTCTACCTGGTCAATTAGTCGCCTCAACCATATACTTTTATTTGCAAGGTTTTAGTCAGATTTTGTTGCTATTTGTGTTAGATATCTGATGAGACTTGTTGTTATGATGAATTACGCTCGCCCTTAGCGAAGCTTGTCGCCATCAGACAATGGAACATCTCCAGAGCTTTGACCTGTCTCGTGTTTAGAGACGTGACTTTAGCTACTTGGCGGTGACTTGTCGGTCGACTGTTTACTCTTGTTGTTTTTGTTCATTCATTCTATGTTCATTCTCTTTGAGATTTGTACACTAATTAATTAATGATAAATTCTTAATTAATTTACCATTGACTAATTAATAATTTATATGTTATTTATTAGATTAAATAAAAATATTGACAAGCAATTTAAATTTCTAAATTAATTATGAAATAGTTACATATAGTTATAAATAGCTTAATAACATAATTATTAAAAAAAAGGTCTAAATAAACCAATTTAAATTTATCTTCCCTGTCCCCTGTGCTGCCCTAGACCTTTGCCTCCCTCGCTCCGCCCACTCTTCCGGTTTCGTCCGAAACCATCACCCACCTCCTCTTCCCCTTCTCGAGGCCGAAACCATAGCCATACATTCGCGACTAGAGCTAGCTGTGAAGGCAACGGCGGGATCGCGGCGTACAAAGACCTCCCATCTTCCCCTTCCTCCAGCTTCGCTCCTCCCAGAAACCATTGAGGAAGGTAGCCCTCGTATTTCGCTGTCTTCCTTCCACCCCCTTTCTTGCGCTTCAGCTCTTCTAAATCCCGTAAAGCCATCATCCAACCTGATTTACTAAATCCAGGAGTTAAGGCAAAGCGGAGGAGAATCGGGATTTCATATCCTGTAGGAGTTAAAGCTGTCATTTTTGCTGTTTGACAGGATTTAGGCTAAATCTTGCTGCTACCAAGCAGTCCCTTAGCTGCGCTTGTCGCTCTTATTCAAACGGGAATGGTGGAGGATTCTATTCTAGGGTTTTTACAGAACAACGAAGCGATACCAGACTCGCACCAATTCGCTGCCAGTATCGGCATCGATCATAACGAGCTCGAGAATGTAATCAAGAGTCTTCGTGGTTTCGAAATTGTTGATGCTCAGGTTAAAATTTTCGACGGCCCTCTCCCTATATATATCTTGTTCACTATTGTTGAAAATAACAACACAACGTTGCTTCCGTGATCAGGAATTCCAGAAGGATCGGTGGTTTCTTAAAGAAGAGGGCAAGACCTACGCGCGGGAGGGATCACCGGAGGTCCAACTGTTCAATGCAGTGCCACCTGAGGGGATTTCTAGGGAGGAACTGCAGGTATGGCGTATTTTGTTTGCCGAACATTTGGTTCCAGTATGAATCCTGATATTTGTACTAAAAAGTTGAAGTTTATTTATTTATTTATTTGTCTTTCTCAGAGTAAATCATTATTATCGAGTGATTTCTCTTTGTTTGTTATTTTTGATGCAACAGAAAAAAGTGAATCCCGCAGTTTTCAAGATTGGATCCTCCTGGGCAGTAAAGAAGAAATTGGTGGAGATTGGCAGGCAAGGGGTCTCTAGAAAGGTAAATTTTTTTCCACATTTTGTAATTGTAACTCTAATTCGTTCATTATTTCTACATTATTTGGATGTTCATTATAAATTGTTTATTGGAGCATATGCATGCATACTACCCTATTCCTATGTATTTACATATCTAAGACCTAAACTTTACTTCATACATTTATACCGCCCAAATATTTCATATCACATAAACAAATGCCATTATTTTAACTTTCAAAATGCGAAATAAACCTCTCATTGCATGGATGTTAGATTGAGTGGTTTTTATGTCTTCCTACATTATTATGCTATGTTTTCAAAGACCTTTATGGAGGCTTTTATATTGCATAGATGACCTTGGGACATTTGGATACTCTCCGTGCTGAAAGTAAATTTTACATTACTAGTAGATCACATTCCTTCCTGATTGGTACCAATTTAAGTTATATCTAATCTGAGAAGGGGGAATAAATTGCTTTCCTTGATCATCTTATGATGAATTTTGTATTGGAGGTAGATTGGGATATCTTTATTTTTTCAAATGTTGTGTATTGGCAATAGTGGTAGTCTACAAATTAAAAGCAGCTGGAAATATACTCTTTCTCTAGATTTTACTTAGATAACAACCACTCTCATAGAACAAAAATTGAGTTTATATACAACGAAGTAAAGAAAAGGTTTCCCATCAGCGAAAAAGTTTATTTTTGATACTCTTTATAGAGTGCGTGGTTAACTAAAAATACTATGAATTCCATTTTCATCCATACCCTTAATCACTTTATACAAGGAAAAAAAATCAACTGATTTGCGTATAAAACTGGAAGCCCATTTATGAAACGTGAATAATAGATGAACATAAAGTACGATAGAACAATGAAAATTTACATATATAGCACACAATTCTTATGTATTTACATATCTCATACCTAAGCTTCCATATTTTTGTACACTAGCATTTTCGTGCTTTAAACCTATGAATGAAAGGTGCACACTTGACTTTTAAAAAGTGTTAATAGTGTTATTTTTTATTTGATATTAATGTTTTTAGTGCCATGTGTGTAAATAAGAAAGTTTAGGTGTGAGATATGTATATAAATAATAAGAATTGTGTGCTATCTATGCAAATGCTCCTAAAAATAATTACAATTTAGAACTTATGTTTGAAAGGGTAGAATAGTGATTAATAATGAGGCAAATTTGTCTTTCCCTTAAAAAAAGGGGCAAATTTATCTTTTGTACGCCTAAGGACAATTTAGTTTATTATTACTATTATTATTGGATATAAATAAGTTTGTTATGTCTAGGGTTAGGTTTATACATGAGATTAAGTGGCGAGTCTTAGGTATAGGGTTTGAGACAAATTTCTTACCTCTCGAATTGTATTAATTGGGAGTGATCGCCTACTTCTCGAATTGTAGGTCCTTATCATTTGTATTCGTGTGAGTTGTTTGGATTGTTGCAATAAAAAAAATTATGTTTGCTCTAATTTATTGTTACGTTAGTGCCTAACATGAAGACAAATTTGCCCTTAGGCAGGGCCCCAAGGTAACACAATTATAGTAGTTTTTCTATATGAAAGGCAAGAGAAGAGATAAAGTAGTAGAGTAGTATTAAAAAAAATGTGATTATCTATGTAACTCTAACTGTGAATGTATTTTTCAGGTTGAACATGTCGATGACAAAGTCCAAGATTTTCTCCAGCAGATTGAAAATGGGGATGTATGTGATTTTTTTATGGCTTTTATTTTTAATATATGAATCTCCTGCTCTCAAGTTGTTTTATATTTAAACCTTTATGTTAGGGTTTTTTGAAGTTAATCTCATTTGATCTTAGTGTCTAGTTTGATTTATTTGAACCTTGGCATATAATGAAGCACAAAGTTTGAAAAATTTTAAGTTTTAACCTTTAATCTGTTTTGATATTGTTTTGAATTATGTCGGCTGTTTTTATTTTGCTCTCTTTTCATTTTTCAATGCAAGAATATATATGTTGTAAGCACATTAATTGTGTCCATGTAAGTGGGAGGCATGCACTCCTACTAAGCTTCCTCATTCCTAATGTTTAATATGTCATGTTGGCGTTGAGGTCGGTGAGCTCGGGTATGTTGAGGAGGGTGCAAAAGAAGTTTAAAATCATATCTGCATGTTTTTATTTTTATTTTTATTTTTTGGGTATTTACATACATACCGCCCGATTCCAATGTATTTATATATCTAATACCTAGACTTTATTTTTTTACATTTACACCACTAAAATCTTTCATATCACACAAAAAATACCATCATTTTAACTTTTAAAAAATGAAACACACCTTTTCATGCATAGGTAAGGTGGCACGTATGTAAAAAATAAAGTTTAGATGTTAGATATGTAAATACATAGGAATTGAGCAGTATGTCTATAAATCTGATTTTCCAGGAGGTTAACAATGGTGATGAAGGAGACTAGATATTCGATCTATCCATTATTTCATTGTGCTTGATGGCGGTGTTGTTTGTAGGGGAGACCGAGCGGGGTTTTACCGTTTTAGGGTGTCTTTGATGGGGGTGGCTATGTTGGCTTTTATGAAGCATGGTGCCATTTAACTGTTAGAGACGGGGTTAAATTTTTGGCTTGCGGTGTTAGGAGAAGATTGGTTGGTATGAGCTTTTTGACAAGATTAGATTTAGTTTTTGGAGTGAAAGAGGAGAGGCTCAGCAGTAAACTTCACCCTCGAACAGATTCTTGCACAATAAACTGCTACGTATTTGGTATGGAATATATGTGCTCCTTTTACATATTCTTTATTATACTGGGGCTATATGCTCGTTAAAATAAATCATGTGCACCAAATTATACTTATCCCTTAAATTAATCTATTGCTCTTGGTTTTTTATGCTAATATTGATAATTATGTTATGCAACACTGCCATTGCTGGGTCTCACCCCCCGAATGTGAAAAATGGAGGGTTACATTAGGTGGTCGACAACTAGTGTAAAATTGTTGTCGAAAAACTATGACATGAATCCTTTAATGGAGAAATAAGGTTCATGTAGGAGACCCCACTTAATGGGATAAAAGCTTGTTGTTGTTGTATTGATAATTATGTTTTGTATGATTTTGTTGCAGGTTGTTGATGAGAAAGATCTTGCAGAACTTAAAAGTAGGAAGCTCATTGAATTTAGGTGAGCATATCAGATCATCATTTTTATTTGGATTCATTTGGCTATATTTTTTTTTCTCAGTATCTCATTAGCTTTATAATGCATCTCTTTGACTTTGTTTCGCTTCCATTTTACAGGCCATTGAAGGGGTACTCTTTAAGGAAAGGTCCCAAGTATGTTTTAAAGAGGAAAAAGGCTGCAACGGATTTAACGAGGGAGCATTTGTTGAGGTACAATTTCCCTTTGTGTTAAATACCTCAAGTCCCCACCGACTCCATTACCTCGCATTTTGTATTTCATATTGACTTTTGTTTGTGCTTTTGGAATATGTCGATTCTCTATTGTTACACTTAGCTTTGCTTTTGATAATAACTCGATTATTGCACTAATCTTTTTATAGTTTCATTTTTTTCAATATGTAGGGGTGATTGGAAGGATTTGGAGTTTAAGGAATATAACCTTGCTGCTCAAGTACAACCTATCCAAATTGGTTATTTGCAACCTTTGCTTAAGGTATGGCCAGGAGCAATCTGCTTTGTTAAATGATGGAGTATTATTTTTTATAGCAATTTATGTGTTATTAATTATTTAAATTGTTCTTCATCTATTATTATGAGCTGGCTGTTTGAGAAGGCTTGCAGGCGAGGTTTTAAATAAACCAATGCACTTGATGAACATGTCAAAATTGACTCGATTAATACTTAGTCAAGTTTGTTCAAATTAGCAAATAAACAAGTTTGAACATTTTTTAAATACTTGAAGATTAAATTAATCAAACTTGAACACTATCCATCTTGTTTATTTATGCTTATGAACAAACAAGTTAGTTATTCAACAAATAACCTATTAAATATTTGACATTAAATTCAATGATAACTCATATCATATAAAATATACTATTTAAATAAAATTTAATTAACTCTAATTTATTTAATTTAATAATAGTATATTATAATTTATTATCAATTATATTTTAGGTTTAATTATTAATTATATCGTAATATATTATAATTTAGTATTCATGTATGTTAATTTAACATAACTTGCTTTTTATTTCAATAACTAGTTTATTAGTACTTATTTATTTTGTTTAATTACATGAAAGCTTGTGTGAAACTCATATATTTTATTTTGTTTATGTAAAGTGGTTAGATACTAGTTCAAAATTTGCTCATATGCTTATTTATTTAATTTTGTAAAATTATTTTTTAATAATTTTATCTGAAAATTATGTTCTTTTCTAAGTTCTAGTTTATTTATTAACTCGTTGAAACTCTCATCTAGTTAATATAAGCAATCTAAGTTCAAGCCGACTAAAATTAGTTAAAAAATTAAGCAAACCAAATATGGATATATAAAGTCTGGCATGAGTTCGAGCCGAATATGAACAACTTATATTACGACCAAGCCAAGTCCAATCCACGACACACTTGGCTTGACTTGACTCTATTGCAACCCAACTTGTAGGGCATTTGGATACTTTAACTATCACTTAAACATTAAATCAACTTCAAAACTATAGAATAACCTCAAAAGAAAGCCATTTATGTTTATTCATTCTGTTGCAAATTTTAGGCGATGTACTTTTTACAATAAATAATCAAAATGCGTAATAACCTTAAAAGAAGTTGATGCCTTTTCATTGCAATTCAAATTTTAGTGATGTGCCTTCTGCAACAGCCTATGTACATTCTCTCTTACTAGGATTAACCTACAAAAATGATTGTTTTACTTTGATACCATTTTTTAATGACTTGGCTTGAGAACTTGGATTAATCGAAAAGAGAACTATTGGTTGTGATGACAGGATTGCCCAAGTCTCTCCTTGATCTATTGTTATCATAAATTTGAACAACATTATGGTAGAATGGTCGTGATGTGGATAATCTTAAAATTATATTGTATATAGCACTTGCAATTCATATCCATCAAAATAGAAATATCAGTATTTTTAAACCCAAACTTAGCTATATCATCCTAAGATTAATATCATCCATTTGGCCATATAGAATTTAATCTAGATTTACTTGTGTACTTTAGAAGCTAGATGCCATTAATTACAATTTCTCACACATTTCTCATTTTGATCCTTAGCCTCAAGTTATGCCATAATCATGCCCTTCAAACATTATCAACATGTACAAAAGTGAGCTATATAAATATTTTGGTTGATAAATCTCAATTCTATATAGCAGTAGACAAAATGGAAAAAGAAGCAACATGTATGCTGTTCATTTGGCATTTAAGCAAAGAAGTTGAGATTTCTAACTAGATTTTCTAATTATGTGATCATTTTACGAATTTCAATATATATAAGCTTAAGTAATTTGTTGGGAAATCGAGCTATAGTTTTGAGTGAAGCGTGCATTACCGATGTGAAATGATAGTATGTGGCATAACATTTGGATGTCATACTCATGGACTATGAAATAATTTCAACATAACCATGCATTCTATTTTGGGAGTCCTAATAACTGTTGCTTGTCGTAAATCTAACCCATCTTTGACTGATGCATTCCATTCAGCATATTGAGGTACATATTTTGTTTTTTTGTTGTTTTTGGGTGAAGGCGCATAAATTACCATTGGTTGATACGTTCCTTATCTGATTAGCTAGGCATGGCTCTTTTATTTACTATCGTTTGTGCTGGAAACGATAGAGTAATAAAAGCATGGATATATTGACATCCTTTGTTAGTACCATATTGGGTGCTCTATTTATCAACATTCACATGTGAGCATTCATATACAATGCCTTTCTTTGTAAAGTTGTTTTTATGTAATAACTTTATTAGTGGCAGCATTGTACTTATGATCTGCATTACAAAATTATAGCAATAACGATAGCAATTCAAGATCAAAATCATGAATTTAAAATGAGTTGAATTTCATGAGTACTGTAGTGAATTTCTTCTTTCCTATTGAGGAACAAGCAACATGTTTCCAGCCTCGACATTTGCCTTAACTACATATGGATCACACATTTCAACCTAAAATCTCACTACATCGCCTCCCCTTCAGTTCATATATGTGTATATAACTAACACCGCAAGCAGCAACTCATTTTGTATCTTTCGATTGCTACCCAATCCAACTTGATTGATCAACGCAACCCAATCAAGCTCAAATAATCCAACCCAACCATTAGCCAAGTTTGAAACAAAATCAAAGGTAGGCTGTTAACCCTAAGATTTTGAAATCTTTTTTGAGTTTTTTATTGGTATGATTGATGATGGTGATATTATTCCCCTTTGTCTGTTTTTTTTTTCTTGGGATGCATTTCCCATTTATCTCTACTCCTCTTCTTTAGGTGGTTTCTGTTTGGCCTTTCGTCCAGTGTGGCTATTGCTAGTTTTATAGTAGGGTTGATGGTCTTGAATTCTTTCTCTAGCGACATTTCAACCCTTCGGAGTATAGTTCCTTGCTACCTGAGGGGATTGATGAAGTGCAAGCCTACCTCAATTCAGGGTCATGTGTCTATGATTTTAGGATTATGTAACCTTCAGTTTTTTTTCTTTTTCTTTTTCTTTTTTTTGTGAGTTTTTTATGTTGGTCATCAGTGGTTATTAATCATTTTTTATTTAAAAATGTTTCGAAAATTTTTATTTAGTTTGGGTTAGTTTTGCTATTTTATATAAGTAGGGTCTAGTGTCTTGCAAGTCGATCAAAGTTTATGATGGAATAAACAAGTATAGGTATTTTTTTGTAGCCTTTGTTCATCTGATTCTTACTTTCTCTTAGGGTTTTTTCCCCTACTTTTTCTATTCTATTTCACGTCTCTTCCTTTTAATTCATTTTTTTCATCTAAACTTATGGGTTCTTTCATCTCCTGATCCTTCCTTTATGATGAGTTTCTTTGCTATTGTTTCCTTCTTCCTAGTGGGAAATTAAAAGCGCTTTTTTGAGCCAGTAAAAGCTAATTAGAATTAGATCTCATTTGAGAAATTGCCTTCCGTGGTGGAAAATTCCTAAGTTGCATGCGTACTCTCTCTAAGCACTCAATTGTGGGTATGATTATATTAACTAATAAAGCATTTAAGATTTGGTACCTTCTTATATTTCATTTGTAGATAACAAATTTTAAATAGGTGAGATTGTTGCTAGATTGGTAAAAATTAGAACCATGTTAGAGATTTAAAAGATAGGAGCTCGAGATTTTATGGGGGTGGTTAATGGGTTTCAAGGTTGCTGTATAAGTGGTGGACGAGTTAAAGTTAGGGGTTGATTTTAGTTAAAATGGAAATGTTGACTAGTTTAGGGTTTCTGGACATATTTTTGGCTTAGACTTTTTATCGATGGTTTGAGTTACTTGTAAACAGTGCAGGAGATATTTGCAAATTATTGTAATCTAATGCAACACTTAACAGAATTGAATGAATGATGAGCATTCATAAAGCTCACCATAACAGTAGGAATAAGTCTCAGTTTTTTTATGTTAATTTTGTTGAATAGAATGTTCTTGCGAATATATTATCATAAAGAATTATATTGCTAGAAGATGTGTTTGCTTACCATTGCTATATATTGTCATCCATTCACTGTTTAATTATTGAAAGATTTACATACATACCAATCAATTCTTATGTATTCACTTTTTAAAAGCTAAAAGGGTGGTATTTTTAACGTGATATGAAAGATTTGGATGGTATGAATATAAAAAAAAAGTTTTGATGTTTGATATGCAAATGCATAGGAATTGGGTGGTATGTATTTAAATGCCCATTAATTATTATCTGTTACTTATGATGTGCTTGTTTACAAGCTATAGTTCTTTCATTGCGGAGGGATATGGAATTCTATAATCATTTAGGGTCCGTTTGGGACAGTTTATTTGGTGCGGTGGCGTTTTGAAAACGCACCTGGAGTGTTTGGGTAAACTGCGTTTTGGCAACTTATTCGTCTTGAAAACGCTAAAAGTAGCATTTTCTCACCGCACATATCTAGGTGTGGTGACAGCTTTCTGGCAATGGTCTGGATTTTCCAAAAAAAATAAAAGTTTCTAATAATCACCGCACCTAACTTATCAACAGATTATTCAATAAGCTGCAGCTGCCCCAAACAGACCCTTAATGTTATGGTTATGAAGACGAAGTTTGACTCTACATTGCTAGATATTGTCATCAATTCACTGTATAATTATTATTCAGTGCTTAAAATGTGCATTTTAATGAGCTGAATTGCCACTCTTCTTATTGGAAGTCCAAATAATTGTTATAGTATTATCATAATGTAGTAGTTATGATGAGATGTTATCCATGCCTGTCCCCAAGTTCTGTATTCCCACTATATGCAAACATGTTTCCTTACAAATCTTTTTGCAACAAATAATGTGTGAACAAGAATGGATTCTGAGCTACCACAAAACTTTCAATTTTTCCTTTTTATTTAATTTCTTTCCACTTAAACAAATTTTTTATTTATTTGCAAATTTAAATTCCTGCAGGTGCGGGATGCCATCCAAAGTATTTTTCTTCAGATGGGGTAGTTGAAACCACCATTTTCATTTGCTGAAAATAGGGTTGATATGTATTTCTTATTTGTCTGATGTCACTTTATTACCGCAGCTTTGAAGAAATGCCGACTAATAACTATGTGGAAAGCAGGTAATGTTCTTTCGTATTTAGACATTCTAATATCTTAACAGTGTATGTCCAAATTTTGTATTTTTCTCTTCAATGCTGCATCCATTTTGAGTTTTGTTTATTTGAAATTTGGGACATTATCCTAAAGGACTGTCAAGTGGAATACTTATATGCTGACTGATTTGTAATTGTTATCATAATTTTGTCTTTCAGCTTCTGGAATTTTGATGCTCTATTCCAACCTCAACAGCACCCGGCCCGCGATTCACATGATACTTTCTTTCTCAAAGGTACAGACTTACATAAAAATTTTGGTTTTGCGCTAATTGTAGTTAATGAAGCGGCATTTATATGAGCTTACTAGCCGATTTCTATGTATTTACATATCTAACTCCTACACTTTGCTTTTTTATATTTGTACCATACAAACCTTTCACATCACATCAAAAATACCCCCATTTTAATTTTTAAAAGTGGAATATACCTTTTCATGCTTAGATAAGGTGGCATGTATATAATGAAGTTTAGGTGTTAGATATGTAAATACATTGGAATTGAGTGATGTAAATCTTCCTATAATGAATTGCATGGTTGGATTGCAGTTCCTTCGTCTACTAGGGATTTACCCGAAGATTATGTTGCGAAGGTGAAACATGTTCATGAATCTGGCAATTATGGATCCTTAGGGTAAGTTAACTATAATCTTATGGTAATATTTTATGTTCATAATTCTGATTCAGCTTTTCTGTGCAGGTATAGATACAAATGGAAACGGGAGGAAGCGAATAAGAACCTGCTTCGAACGCACACAACGGCAGTATCTGCAAGGATGCTATATAGGTTGGCTCAGCAGGTGCAGATCTTCTGTGCGTTGTTCAATTTCAGTCTTATTAGATATTATCTTATTAAGTATTTGACATATATCTAAACCTTTTGTTTTTAACATTCTTTGCAAAGCAAAATGTGTGATGCATGGTAATGTAAAAGATTCTATATCATTTAGCACACAACAAATAGTTGAAAGATTTACATACATACCACTCAATTCCTATGTATTTACATATATATATATAAAACCTGAACTTCATTTTTTACTTGCATGTTGTCAAAGTTTTTCTAAAAATAGGTTGAATAATGAATAGTCTCGATTGCCTTTTTCCTTTGCTTTCATTCCATTAAATAATAATCTTACAATCTATTCTAGGTACAAAATATTCTGTATAATCTATTTTGTAACTTAATAATACATATTCCTAATCTAAATATTCAGCTAAAAGGAAAATAAATCAGAATAAAGATATTAAAAATAATTTAAATAAGGAAGCTCCTAATTATAGAAAACTCTTAATTTAGCTACCTGATTTCTGTCCTTTCTGATTGACATCCCCCTTCAAATTGATGTTGACTGATCAAGAAGCATCAATTTGACAACAAGAAACTAACATTGTCGGGATCAAAAATCCTCAAGCCGTGAGTACTGAAGCCTGAGAGTGCCGAAGTCTGAGAGTGCCGAAGCCTGAGAGCATCGAAGCCTGAGAGTGCCGAAACCGAGAGTGCCGAAGTCGTGAATGCCGAAGCCTAAGATCTATGGTTTGCAGAGGCCGAAGCTGAAGCTATCGATCTAGGAAGGAGCGCCGAAGTCGAAGTCGAAGCGGACGATGCGAAGCGTAAGAAGCAGTCGAAGATGCCATAGAAGCAGCAATGCTTTGCGAAGAAGATCTGAATCGGACGAATAATAATACAAACATAACAACCCTTTCTCTACTCAAGAATCCTTGTATTCCACAATGAATGAATTTTGCACTTCAGAATAAGTGCCATCTCTTGGCGAGCAGACCCGTGACATCTATCTGTCAGTCGATCAAGTCTGATATTCTTTAAAACATACTTCTTCTTTTCCACCTTGTTCTTCACGAGAAGAGCAGAGAACAACAAGAAGAATAAACCAGACCAGCGCCGCAACTCTAGGTGGCAAAAAACTTAAAAGGAAAGCATGATTGGAGATCTCCTAATGGCGTTGCTGAGCTCCTTGCAATTCCATAAGATGAGTCCGCCTCTTGTGAATATCAGCACTTGTGAATATCAGCTGCTCAAATATATTCGATACCTTCCTCAATGATTTCGGGTAGGAGAAGACCAGAGCTCTAAGGCCGGCGCGAGGGAGGAGAGCCATAACTAGGGCAGAGACGATGGTTAATGAGGAGAGTTGCAGCTAGGGCAGAGACGCGGGGAGGAGAGGAGATCGAGGCTATGTCCCTTGATGAGGAGATCACAGGTTGATGAGAAGAGCCGGAGGGAGGAGAGGAGATCACGAATAGGGCCGAGACGAGGAGAGTCGCAGCTAGGGCTGAGACGACGCAACGAAGTGGTGAAGTGATGCGGCTAGGACAGAGAGGACACGAAGTTTTGCACGAACGAAGCAGAAGTAGACACAGACGAACGAAGCTGTCGAAGATGTTGCGAATGAAGCATAAGCAGACACAGACGCGAAATTGCGCAGGCAAACGAAGCAGATGCAAACGAAGTTGTCGAAGATGTTGCGACGAGAAAATCGCGACTAGGGCTACTGTTGAAGAATACCAAGGATTCACACCGATTCTAGCTCTGATGCCATGTCAAAGTTTTGAGAAAAATATGTTGAATAATGAATAGGTTCGATTGTCTTTTCCCTTTGCTTTCATTCCATTAAATAATAATCTTATAATCTATTTTAGTTACAAAATATTATGTATAATCTATTTTAAGTAACTTAATAATACATATTCTTAATCTAAATATTCAGCTAGAAGAGAAATAATTCAGAATAAAGATATTGGAAATAATTTAAATAAGGAATCTCTTAATTATAGAAAATTCTTAATTTAGTTGTCCGATTTTCGTCCTTCCTGATTGACACATGTCACCATACCTATGCATGACATGGTGTATTTCACTTTTCGGAACTTAAAATGATGGTATTTTTAATGTAATACGAAGGATTTTGGAGGTATAAATGTAAAAAGTGTAGTTTAGATGTTAGATATGTAAATACATTGGAATTGGGTGGTAAGCATGTAAATGCCCCAAATCGTTTTAGCTAGTAAATAGATAATGAATTTGGAGAATTGAGGAGTTTATGCGATGAGATATATGACTAATATCAAAGATTTCTTTATTGTATGAGCAGCCGCAGAGCTTCCATGCATGATATCTTAAATAATTAAGTTGGTTGAAAAGTCACTATATTAAAACAAATCCGTAAGTTATAGATATCTTAAGGGAAAATTGAGATGAAGTTAGAATTTTTTTTTTAAAAATTTTTGGGACGATAACTTAAGAGTTAATATTTGCATTATGTGTCCAGAAATCTTTTAGTCCTAAGAGGTATTACTCGATCGATCGTGTTTTCCGCAATGAAGCTGTTGATCGAACCCATCTTGCAGAATTTCATCAGATAGAAGGTATTATTACACATTTCTTTTCTTTCAAATTTTTTGTGGTGATTTTCATTTAATTAAATTGCAAAGTTGCTGTGCTAAGGTCTCATTTGCGATCGAGGTCTCACTCTCGGTGATCTTTTGGGAGTATTGGAAGACTTCTTTGCGCGGCTTGGTACGAAACTTCCCCCCCTTTTTTTTTCTTTTTGCATCTTTACTTTATTTCTGAGCATTTCTTGATTTTTTTTGCATCGTTGAAACTGAAATTTTCTTAATCAACTTGATCCTGGTTTTGTAGGCATGGCAAAGCTGCGCTTCAAACCTGCTTATAATCCATACACAGAACCAAGCATGGAGATTTTCAGGTACACATGACCTCAGTAATGCATTACCTGTTCTGTGTAGTCTTGATGATCTTTTTGTCTTATTTTCGCCATTTTTTTCCAGTTATCATGAAGGTCTGAAGAAATGGGTTGAAGTTGGAAACTCGGGTATGTTTCGCCCCGAAATGTTGCTTCCGATGGGGCTTCCGGAGGATGTTTCAGTCATTGCATGGGGGCTTTCACTTGAGAGGTACACAAATTTTATCTAGGCATATGTTTTTGCTAGGAAGAGTGGCAGTTCTATATCTTTAGGTAGTTCTGTTCATGTCTTAAAAATTGAACCGGACAGACTGCTTCAACTGGTTCAACCGTGAATTTGTTATTCGATCAATTTAGTCTAAGCTCAAAATCATTCTTCATAGAACTCTGAGATTGAGCCTGTCTGAATTGGGGGGGTGGTTGAATTAGCGAACCGGTGAATCGGTCCGTTTTTTTTTAAGAACTGTGATTTTCTGAACTATGAAATCGATACATTTACGTGTGCCATTATCAAACTATTGTGACTTTGATAAAAATGAAAAATATGGGTTGGGATTTTATCACGACCTTTGATATATGAGCGTGAGTTTGAAAAATGGATGAAAAAAAGCTGCTTGATTTATAAATAGCAATGTTTTCGGTGCCGTGTAATCGCTTACATCCCCCACAATTCCTATGTATTATACATCTAACACCTAAAATTTATATTTTGCATTTATACCCCCAAAAAAAATTTATACACCTAAATTTCTCCAATTAAAGCGTCAATTTTTATATTTCAATTTCCTCCCTCGTAATCAGGCCCACAATGATTTTGTACGGCATTGATAACATTCGGGATCTCTTTGGACCGAAGGTATGTATGATTGTTCTTTCTTTCCCTTTTTTTTTTTTTTTTTAATAAATTTGTTTTCTGCCCCTTCATTTTATTTATTTTTTATTTTTTTCAGGTGGATTTCAATGTTATAAAGAGCAACCCAATCTGCCGGCTGGGATTGCAGTGAAGAGCTTTTCTGTTGAATTCCATTTTGCTTGAAGAAAAATATTTCTCAGCTAATTTATTTTATCCACTCATTCAAACATTTATTAAAAAAATAATATATATATATATATATATATGGGTTGTCTCTCACAAAGCGCTCGGTTTAACTTGAAAATATAGGAAGGTCGGAAGAGTTATTTATTGTAATTTATGTTGTAAGTTTACAGCTGCTTGTACCTTATAAAATAGTTACATTGGACTATTAGTCCATAAAAGTGTTAAAAAGTAATTTGCAGTTGAAATAGTTTTCTATAGAGATTATTTTAAGCTTTATTAAAAGAATATTTGGATTAAATTACACTTTTATAAACTGTGGTATAAGATGGCATATTTGAGGAGATTATTGACATTTTTCATTTTTTTTTTTTCATTTGAATGCATGAACTTGAAAGTTGTTGTATGAGGAGCAATGTGAACACATATAGAATAGAAGATAAATGTTATTTCATCACAAAATCTTATAAAACTAGAAGTATAATTGATAATGTGAGAAGACAAAAGGATTGAGGCCCACTTTAAATCTCTTATTTTGTTAGAATCATTTGGCTCCTCTAGTAAGAACATGTATTTTGATAAATGATTAATTTTCAACATTTCATGATTTTATTGATTGTTATGGGAAGTGTTGATGTTTAATGTTATAAATATTTTATTATCCGCTAAGCGAGTTGATGGTTTTACACTAGAAAGAAGCTTAGCATACGAGTTAATTTGAGATATTTTTTTTTCTTTTTTGTGTTTCAGACCGTCGTCATAATTTTATTTGAAGAACTATTTTCTTAGAAATTTTTATAATGAGAAGTTGTTAAAGAGTGTAAAAGTTGTGAAAAGATAGTTGTTTTAATTTTTTTATTAAAAATATATATATTTAAAATTTCAACCATAATTTTCTAATAAAATACTCTGTCATATCTCTACAAAAGTAATATGTTTTAGGTCGATTGTATGAATATCATTCTAAACAATGCTATTTATAAAATTGATATATGAAACTAAGCACTCGTTTATCCCATTTTTAAAATCTCTCCCGACGAGCGAAATTCACAAAATAATAAGTATTCTTAAATTATACGAATTTAAAATACTATTCTTTGTTTGATGTTTAGTCTCCTTCGTTGATAGACAAATTGGTATGAACCGGAAGTCGCAACAATCCGCATACAAAGTCGTTGCATAATCCTACATTTCCAATCTGAACTGACAGAAGATGTTTGGCTCCGTGTTGTGCTTACCCGCTGCTTGACGGCACGCGCCGTTATCACTAACCTACGCTTATCCACCCGCCGTTGCGCACGTTAGCATCAGCCTATCCCGTGAAATAGCCGAAGAGAGACGGCGGAGGAAGCTATGAACTCTCTCTCTCTCTTCCGTTCGTCAAAACCTCTTGTTTCCAGAAGGAGACGGCACATGGGAAACGGAATGCTCTCTTCAGTTCGTTAGGGTTTGTGGATTCGATGGTTTGGAAGCATATATTGGAATTGAGGGGGAGGTGTAGTTGTTAGAGTGTTTTCATCGGTGGAGGTAAGTTGTAGCGCGGCGCTGCTTTCTTCTCCTTCGGCTTTGGAGTGTCGAGAATGTGGGGTAGATTTTACTGGTTGAGGAAGGAGGAAGGGGTTAGGTGTGCAGAGGGGATCGTGGTGCTTTTCGCGTGGCTCTTCAGCCAGGAGAGGCATCTGAAGGCTTATGTGGATCTGTACTGGTCTCTGGGATGGGATTGCCTGGTTTGCCATGTGGATTTTCTCACCCAGTAAGTAATAATTGTTTGAATATTCTGCTTCTGTGTATTTTTCTGGTATACTATTTTGAGAAGAGTAGCGGATAAGTTATCTGAGGATTATTTTGAAATAGAAAATCTCTTTTCTGAAATATTTATCTTTTTATGTGGAATCATATTAGAACTAATTTGGATCCGGTGTAAATGGATTGTTCTGACTGAAAATCTGAGCGTAATTAAACTGATAGGGAAATAAAGTCTTCTGCTTTGGGGAACTAGGTTGCAGGAGTGCAAGAAACCAACTCCTGATCGTTTGTCTGTTTTATTGTTTTTATTTGATGCGGGAGATGGTACGCGACATCTCCCTAGAAGCAGATGTGAGATGTCAAGGAGTTGCTCTCACTCACGCACATAATATGGTTTTAATCTCCTTCTGAGCAGCAATTTTGGAACAAATTTAACAAAAGCAGCACAATTTAGGATTAGGATTAACAGCATATAAAAAATTGATTCTCTATCTTGTGGCCCTGAAATCGTTACTCGTCATGAAGTTATTGTCAGAAATACACAACATTTGTTTATGATCTATAATGTTATCTAATTGATTCCCTTGTATTCTACAGAGCTTTTTCTTTGATGTTGAAGATGGCTCACTCTTTTCTTTTACAATTTTTTTAAATTTTGGAATGAAAACATTTTTAACTTTTTGTTATAAGAGCATCCGAGTCTCTTACTTTATATCAATAAGTTAATGTTGAAAATGAAAAGTATGTGATATAATAATAAAGAAATGCAGTTTTGTGTGGTTCACTGTTTGAAAATTGGAAATTGTAATGGAAGTATCAAAATTTCCAACCAAACAAATTTAGTACAACACTTTTTATCCATTAAATATAATTATTGCTCCAAAAATTTATTTGATCAAGAAGAAAATGACTTGTTAATCGTCAAATTTCAACTAAATGTTATAAAAACGGGGTTTATGTGAAAATTGAAATAATGTTTTTTATTTTATCACAAGTGTAGCTATCATAGTTTCTCATCCTTGGATACTACTCATCAATTGAACAAAAGAATGCACCCGTTTTGTTTACCACTTTTCTTCCTGAAAAATGGATACTTATAGTCTATGACTTGATAAGTTCTGTATTATCTTAATCTTAAATCAATTTAAGGAATAGTATTATCTTAATCTTAAATCAATTTAAGGAATACACCAAAACTTTATTTGATTCATACATGGATCAGGTGATAGGACCCAAAGATTTCATATGTTGCAGACATTAAATTCAAATTGGTAGCATATACATAACGTAGCCATTTAGGCTGTATGAAGCAAGTGTCGTGCTTCTAAAAACTATTAATAAAATTCGGATGAATAACAAATGCAAATTTAATCTATTGGTTTGTATTTGCATTGTGGAATGTCAGGGTTTGTTGCTTGACGTTAAATATTGTAGTAGACAATCATTTATGGCTTCCAAAGGCAAAGTTAAGACGACAAAGTGATGCAGATTACCAAAGAACAAAGTTGGTTTACTAATTAGAACCTCAGAAATAATTTGTAAGCTAACATGCTGCTTGTCAAGATGATGATTAATGCAGCTAATTTGGTCAAGAATTTTACTCCAATTGTTTATTTTGGGACCTGTTTCTTTCCAATTAAGAATACGCACTATGCATTCTTAGCGTAATTAGTTGTATCTTTTTTTATATTTGAAACTTATAGTTGCTGCAATAAAATGTTGAATCAACTGTTTAATTATTGATATTTTCTCAAGCTAATCTAACTTGGGGGTGTTTTGGTTTTGTGCAACATCTTAGTTGCAAGAAAAAATGATTCTCAATGGAAATCCTATTGACAAAACATTAAAGAAATGAATATCTTCAATACCTGAGGCCCTCAATCGGTTGCATAATACTTGATCCGAATTTGAAGTGTTTTAATAGCATGATAGTTTCACCTACTTGAAAGCATTGTATATTATATTCGTCTTTTGACCAATAAGTTATTAATCACTTTGTTGAATTTCAATTCAATTTTTTATTTTAATTTATGTTTATTTTGACTTATATCTACTTGAAAATTGAAAATATACTCATTAAGTCCATTATGGATATGACGGGGTTGTATTTTTGGCATGCTAGACTAATTGAGTTTCTCTTTTTAGTTACTTGTGTAGAAGTAGCAATTAGTATCTCCCGCTACTATCTTCTTTTGTTGAATTATTCTGTCCAGGATGAACTTAGTCAGCATACTCGATTACTTGAGTTTCCCCCTTCAAATACTTCAATTGGGCTGACATGTAATATCTTACATCGCTTCTTTCATATCTCATACTAAACTGTACTTTGGTATTCGGCCCAGAAAAGCTTGATAGAAGTACATTGGAATCTTATTCCATTGAACAATAAATTTTCATTTTTGTCTGAGAATATTTGACAAGCATCATGAAAAAACAGATCATATTCTAGGCTGGCATACCTAACTTTCTATCTTTAATGGAAGCTGCTCACATTCCATCAATAAATTATAAGAATCCTTTTTTTCATAATGAACCATTTGAGGCCTATTTAATCCGAAAGTCATTGCTCATTATCCAATATTGTTTATTCCCTCGTTCTGTTGTGGCAAGATTTGAGTGTAACCACTCCCACTATAAAACTAATTGGCTTCCAAAGAGTTTAAACAAAACGATGTTTTGAGGATGAAATTTTAAAGGTCAAGTCAAATAATTATATTTACCTAATTGCCCTCTAAACTAGATGGCATGGTCACTCTTTGTACCACCTCCTCTGCTCTTCCTGTGAAAATGGTGTAATTGTCTGAAAAAGGCTCAAACTTTGTAATTGATCAGCAAGGAAATTCTAGAGGAACGTAGGTAGGACGAGAGACGGTGCCTTTGATTGAAAATTTAAGATATAGCTGATTAGGAAATGAGATTTGATAGAAGAAATAAGGTGCTTCTGTACCTTTATATTTGTAGATTAATACATCATTTATATCGTTTAGTGGCAAACAATCTCTAAAGACTATTGATTATTAGATTTTGTGAAATTCATAGTAAGTAAGATGCAAACGTACAAATGTATCTGCTCTCTATAACTATTAGGGTGAATCAGAATTCATTAGCTTGTTGTGCAAGTTTAAAGAAATAATTGATAGGTTTTTCAGGAGATGAAGCTGAGACTTAATTGGATGTCATGGATTATAAAAAACAAGAAGAATGGTTTATATTGGATTTTTGTGGTTTACCAACCCCATCTTTTATATTAATATATATTAGCATTTGATGCACAAAAAATTAGAAGGATTGGAGCTTCTTGATAACGCTAAACAATTAAATAATGGCATAAAAAGTAGAAGCATATTTTCTCATCGTTAGCAAGTTCGGATTTTTCTATGCTTTTAAGAAATTTGAAGGTTTAAAATAGAAAAAAGAAATTGTCCGATCATCTTGGGAATTTACTTTCTTATTTTGGAAGTTGAGTTGAAAACTCATAAAATGGAAACCATTTCTCTTCATTTTATCTGATATCATTCAATATGTTGAATGAGTGGGTAAAGGATAAAATTTATTGTAAGGGCATAAAATCAGTTTAACGGGTATGCTTTTGGTTTGGTTTAAAAATTATAATAATCGAGTCAACTTGTTCTCTGCTCAATTATTAAATGACTGAAAAATATCAATCCAAATTCAACTTCATTAATCTGAACCTAACTTGATGTGACTCGGCACTGGAAGTTGTTGGGTGATGTTGATGCAGTGTCAATTTGATAAAATGGATACTATGACACGATTTATACACAATGAAAAGAAAAAATAAATTGCTATGTGAGATCTTGATTAAAGAAGAGGAGTTCACTTATTAGAGAGGTGAATTTGGTTGGCCCGTACTTGACTAGAAAATGATTTTTTCGGGTTTTATAAGGATGAATCAAGCTTGGGTAAAACTTACAATTTTTGTGCTAGCTTCTCAGCAGGTTGTTGTGTTGAGTCCAATATTGATGCTCATAATTTCTTGAGAATATGAGTAGCTCCTGTGTAGTAACACTACTGTCTTTCGTGTATACTTCAACTACATTTGTCAGTTTATGGATTAAGATGATTTTATCAATCATTAGAAAGCAGTAGTTATCACAGACATTTGTGCGCCATTTTTTATATTACTTTTGAAAGGTAACAGCACATCCAATAATTTATTTAGATCACAGATGAGCATCTCGAAGAGAGATAAACTGTTATGAGAATACATTCTTTCATCTATTTTTTAGGAAGATTTTCATACATACCACTTAATTCCTTTGTATTTATATATCTAACACCTAAGCTTCAATTTTTACTACATGCCACTTATGCATGAAAAGGTGCATTTCATTTTTTAAAAGTAAAATAGTGGTATTTTTTATGTAATTAGGGTGGTAGAAATGTAAAATGGTAAAATGTAGGTTTAGATATGTAAGTACTTAGGAATTGGATGGTATGCTTGTAAATGTCCCGTTATTCAAATATTTTTTGTCAGTTTATGCATGGATGAAGATATTCTTATCAACTGTTTGAAGTAGTAGATTTCATAGAATTTGCATGTTATGCATTTATTATGTATTTGTGCATTGAATGGTGATCATGCCTTATTAATTTTATGGCCAAGTGCTACTCTCAGTTGCATATTGTTTTATAAGCATGCTTTTCATGAGGCACATATGTGTTTCCTGCAGACCGACACTTTTTTTCCCCCCTTAATGTGCAATAAATGTGTCCATGTAAAATTGTTAGTTAGGCTGTCATGCTGAGAAAACTTAAGACATTACATTCTATTTTGATAGATTAGACAGATAAAAACTAAATTTAAATTGGGGCATTTACATACATAGCTCTCAATTTATTTGTATTTACACATCTCACACTTAAATTTTCGTATTTACACGCATAGCACTCAAATCTCTAATATAACATAAAAAACAGCACTATTATCACTTTTAAAAATGACATACATCTTTTTGTGCATAGTTTTAAAGCACCAAAGTGCTATGTATGTAAATATGAAAGTTTAGGTGTGAGATATGTAAACATATAAGAATTGCCGATATAAATATTATATGTAGAAGTTAAAACCTTGAAAAAATATAATGTTAGAGTGCATTGTAATTGCATTTCTCATCTTCAATTTGTTGGAGCACTAATATGTTTTTGAGGATTATTCTTCTGATAGCTTGAATTGTCTCGCAGGTTTTTTCCCGAGAAGGCCACAGAACGGGCCTTTGATGTTGTTGATGAGCTGATTAAGGTTGGTATTATTTAGGTAACATGCGCAATCAAATTTGTTTCCAGAGCTGTTTTCTTCTGCTATAAGTAATACTAGTGAAAGAATTAATAATATTCATCAAGATAATAAAATTATTGCGTTTTCCTGCTATAATTAACTATAAATTAGTGAAATAATTTTAAAAAATAATCCAGTTAATGAAATCAAATTGCATGATTCCTGTTTTCTACAATGGCTAATTTATATTTGGAAACCTTGAATTAAGATACTTTTGTTTTTTATTTTTTCATGTATTTGCGGGATATACCAAAAAAATGTTATATAAGAGGGGACATTTGAGGTAGTATTTATTAAAGATTAGGTAGTGGAAAATAGATATATTTTTTGGGCATTGTATAACTGAAGGAAATGTTGAATTAATTAAACAAATAGATATAATTAATATGGAAGGAAAAAAAAAACAAGTTTGGACTAAAAGTAACATGGTTAGAAGTTGCACACAGGAATAAAATTAATACCTCATTTATTAATCAATAGGAATGGATCACATTAACCTGATTTCAAACTATTATGAGAAGCGTAGAGGTGATAATGAATCGAGTTTGTTGAACCATGCAAAAAAAATTATGATTCTTGTAATTGTGGGATGTTAGGCTATTGTGAGAGAGTAATAAATTCTTAATTTTTCCTTGATATGAGGTTCTTGGGTGTTAGGTCAGTCCAATTTGTGTTTCGTTATTGTTTCGGGGAGGGATTCTCTAGTATTATTATTTTGTCAGCATTTGTGAGTATTGATCCTACTTTTTAGATCTAGCGTTTCATGGATTCTTATGAATTTAATGACTAATTGCTGTGAGAGTGGCAGGAAGCAAAAATTAGACCGAAGCCAATTGTACTTGCTTCGTTTTCAGCTGGATCAAAGGGCTACTTTTACAAAGTTCTCCAGGTGCCGTATTTAGTGATATATGTAATTTTTTCCTTTTGTAGTTGAATCATTGATAATTCCCTTGCGCACATTTCTAATAAACTTCTGGCATTTTCTGCAGTTGATTGAGGGAAAATATGCAGGACAAATCAATCAGGTATGCCTTGCTGTTTTAGTCACTGTTATTTTTGTCACTTTCTGAACTCACTGCTTTATGGTTACAAATTATGATTTCAACATTGTACTTCTCGACTTCATGAATATTTTTTTGGAAGATTTACATACATAAAATCCAATTCCTATGTATTTACATATGCAACACCTAAACTTAATTTTTACATCTATGCCACCTTACCTATGCATGAAAAGATGTATATCACTTTTAAAATAGTAGTTATTTATTTATTTATTTATTTTTATTGTGATATGAAAGATTTGTGTGGTTCAACTGCAAAAAATAAATTTTAGTTGCTACATATGTAAATAAATAGGATGCTTGACTACATGTTAATATATATATATATATATATATTTCACAAATCACATACTATTGTTATTCTTAATGTGATGCTTGACTAAACTGACAATTCACTTATTCTCACATTTCGTTCAACTTTCTGAATGACAAGATTTCTTTGCATCATTAAATTTTTTTTATACACAAAGCATATATAAAAACTTGTTTCTGTTTTGAAAACAATATGATAACGGCATGCTTTTATTCTGAAGGATGATTATTTGTTGCTGAGAGAGTGCATCTCTGGGCAGATTTATGACTCGAGTCCCGTTGATTTTACTAATGATCTCGGCCTCCAGTTTGCCCTTCATCCGTCAGTTCTAAAAATGTCTTATCCTCCAAGAGCAGTGGCGTGGATGGCAAAAGCTTTTGGGGCTGGTTTGGATGCTCTCTTCCTCAGCAGTTTTGAAGCGCAGAGAGCTGAATATTGGCAGGCTTTATATTCGTCAGTTGTAAGGCTCTTGCACGTTTCAAATTTTATTAGGGGGGCATTTACCTACATACCAACCAATTCTTATGTATCTACATATCTCACACCTAAACTTTCATATTACATATATGATACTTTGGTGTTTTAAACCTATCCGTGAAAATGTGTATTGGACTTGTAAAAAGTGGTAGTGGTTCTATTTTTGATGTGATGTGATATTAAAGATTTGAGTTGAGTGTTATGTAAGTAAATATGAAAGTTTAGATGTGAGAAATGTAAATACCATAGAATTGAGTGTTATGTAAGTAAATATGAAAGTTTAGATGTGAGAAATGTAAATACCATAGAATTGTGTGCTATGTATGTAAATGCATCTTTTGATTATCATTTGCTTTAAACATAAAATTCTTTTTTTTTTTTTTTTGATTTGTTTGGGTCTAATATGATTGCAGAGCTGTGGTCCTTTTATCATACTTTGTTCTGAAGATGATAAGCTGGCTCCTTCTCAAACTCTAGACAGTTTTGCCCAACGGCTACAGGAGCTTGGTGCTGATGTTAATCTTATCAAATGGACCAGTTCTCCTCATGTAGGTGAGTTTTTGAGTAAAATCACTTATTTAATTGAGCGAAGCTTGTTTAGTAGTTCCTCGTTTTAAGTCAACTTTACTTTTTACATTTATACCACTCAAATCTTTCACATCACACAAAAAAATACCACTTTTAATCTTTTAAAAATGAAATAAACCTTTTTCATCATTGATACGGTGGCATGCAAGTAAAAATTAAAGTTAAGTTGTTAGATAAGAATTGAGTGATCTGCACGTAAATCTTCCTATTATTTTTAAGTGCTGTCTAGCTCAATAACAATTTTCGTTAGGAATAGTTATGACACAGAAGTAAAAAGTGTTTGTTTTGAAGAAATCTATTTAATAATTTGGTAGGTATCATCACATAATATCATCCAAGCCTTGCAGAAATTTAAAATTTTTTTGGACATATTTACATTTCTAATATCTAAAGTTCACTTTGTTACAGTTATACCACCCAAATCTTTCATACACAAATCTTTCATATCACATAAAAAATAACACCATTTTAACTCCTTAAGAGTAAAATACACTTTTGCATACACAGGTAAGGTGACATGTATGTATAAATTAAAATTTAGATGTTAGATATGTAAATACATAGGAATTGAGTACATGATAATAAATCTTCCAAATTTTTTTCTTTTCCTTTATTTGCAGCTCATTATAGGCACCATAAAGATGAATACAATGCTGCTGTAACTGAGTTCCTTGCCAAGGCATCCATCAACTTCTCAAACAGGCTGCTCAAACGAGCCATGGACGACAAAATACCAAAGTCCGTCTGCTACCTCCACGATGCAGCTTTTAGCTCAAATGAAAGCCTAAGGAGAGTAGCGATTGGACCAAGCGACTATTTCTACTTGCCAAGCTCCATGGAGTTGAGCGAAACTAAAGCTGGGGGTTCATTGATTGACGAACAGAAGGCAGAGCTGTTCCAGCTTCCGAGCATTAAGCCCCAGGGGATACTCAGTCAGGTCCTCTTCGACGTATGTGTTCCGAAGAACATTGAAGGTTGGGACATAAAGCAGATGTCATCTTTGAACCGGACTCATACCTTTGGTTCTGCGCGCAGGCATGGCCCTTTCAATCCAATCAAATGCATCAAACGCTCCAGATTGTAGGGTATTTTTGCAAATAAAAAAAAAAGGGAATGAAATGTTGAGGAACTGGATGTAAATATGAGTAATCTTACTACCGTTGATGTTCTAATTTTGATTGTCTGTCTTATAGGAGGGCGATGAAAGCAAACAATAGCTCCTTGTAATGCTTGGTATGTATTTTCAGTATTTAAAAGTGCTATCCAATTAAGTATTTGGATCGATGTTAATAATGTAAGGTGTATCGTGGGTGTTAATATTCATTATCATATGCTAAAAATAGATATAAATTGAGAGCAGTGTATGGAAAACAAAATTGTTTGAGGTATTTGAGTCGTCATTATGAGATTGTCTTCTAACAATAGTTGACTGTGGATTTTGAAAGTCATAATATAGTGATGATTAGTTCGGCCATTATCATAATACAAGCTAAAACTTTAAACGTGTTGTGGGCATTGGGCAACAATGGGGAGGCTATTTTGATTGTTTTTTCTTTTTTAAAGAGGAGACTTGTCATTGAAAGGATGTATATGAAATATTGTTGGCTAACGAAGTGTAAAAATCTTTGGACATAATACATTTTATGATAGCTAATCATAGCAAGATAAATATTAAATGTAAGTAATTGACCGACATGTGATAATCTTTGAGATTAAAAAGGTTGAATTGTTACTCTTATAGAAGAGTCTCAAGATTAATGTTCCGCATCAACTAGTTGATGGCAGCATTGGATTTTCGCGAAGGTGGGCACCACTCGAAATACTAGGGCGGTGTTTGGGAGCAGCATCTAGAGTAAATATAGTCATGAATTTAGCGTAGGTTCAATCAAACATAAAAAAAAAAAAAAAATGAAAATTAAGTCCAACACGCATAAAGATTTTTTGTTTTTCGTCTTTTCTTTACATGTTCCCTCTCTTTTAGATTATAAATCTGGATTTATTAAATCTGGTTGTTAGACAGATTTAAGTATTCCTTTCTGTCGTTGTTGGAGACTTCATCTTCCTCGCACTCACAATCAGATTTATTGGATTTGATAAACCTTATGAGTTGTCTAATAGATCATAATTCTCATGAGTTGTCCAACTCTTAATAGAAATCTTTTGCTTTTTCGTTTTTTCTTTACATGTTCCGTCTCTTTTAGATTGTAAATCTGTATTTATTAAATCTGATTGTTACACAAATATAAGAATTCCTTTCTGCCGTTGCTCGAGAGTTCTTCTTCCTCGCACTCACAATCAGATTTATTGTATTTTATAAATCTAATGAGTTGTCTAATAGACTAATCTAATGAGGTCAAGGCAAAGCCGATGCGCGTTTCCCATGAAGTCGCGTTTCTTAATAATACAGATATAACCATAGATAGTGTCAGCCAGGCAATCGGCCATACATAACAGCTCACCCACACGTCTTCCACGTCAACGTCTCCCCTTCCTTCCGGCTATCACGGCGCATGTTAGCTCATGCGGCCCACCATGCGCCCATGTACGACGGATCGATCTGCTCTCTCCCAATGATTAACATGACCGATGAGATGGTGGCCATTGAACACCGAAAAAATGGAATATATAATGATAAGATTTTATGTCTAAATATTTGATGTGAGATTCATCAAAATTAACTTACAATACTTTATTTTTTTTAATAAAAAATATATGTCTAAATATTTGATATGAGATTCATCAAAATTAACTTACAATACTTTATTTTTTTTAATAAAAAATATATGTCTAAATATTTGATATGAGATTCATCAAAATTAACTTATGTTCTTCTCTGTTTTTATTAGCTTCTTTTTCTTGTTTTGTTTTTGGTTTTGTAGGCAGAAGGTCATTTTGGATTTTGTTCAGATGATTTTCTGAGGTGATTTCTGGATTGTGACTTGGACAATCCTTTAGCCGTTCGTGGAGTTAAAATTGGCTGCTCGTTGGTTTTGAGAAATTTCTCATTCATGTATTTTTGTTGTGTTAGTTTTTTGTTCTTGTATGGTTATTTTGCTTTTTAGTTGTAGGTGTTGTTGATTTTTGTTTTATATTGTGTTGTAATTGTATTGACTTTATTATTTTTTTTATAAAATTGGGTGTGACACTTTTTTTTTTTTTTTTTTTTTTAAAAAAAAATTTTAAATTTCAATTTATTCTTAAAAAAATTATACATGATCATATTGATATATATTTTTCTTATATAATTAATTAGATAAATTTATATTATATTAACTTTTAAAAAGAAATACACTTTATGTATAATTAAGTTTTTTTTTTTTGTATTTATCAATGTATTTCTAGTTAAGTATATTTCTGAATTTATAGAAGTGCTACAATAATCTGGGTTCTCAAATTGTTTAAATTGGGGCAGAAAAAATCTCTATGGACAACTATTAGAGCATAATTTTAAAATAGCCAGAGACTATTTCAAACTTCTATAAATTATGTGACTAAAATGACCTCACATTAGCTAATATGGAGATTAAAAAGATACATTTACCAACATACCATTCAACCTTCACGTATTTACCTAACACTTAAACTTTACATTTTTTATATTTATACTACACAAATCTTCTACAGTACAAAAAGAATATCACTATATATTAAAATGTGCGTATGTATGTATGTATGTATGTATGTATGTATGTATGTATGTATGTATGTATGTATGTATGTATGTATGTATGTATATATATAAACAATCCTGTAAATTTTCTTCCACTTTCCCTCCTCGGTTGGGAGCATGTTCTGTAGTTCTCAGAAAAACCGTCGTCGACGAATCCGCGTGGAGAGGAACAATTTTCTCCACGCATTGCGGCGTTACAGATAGAATGTGCTCATCTTCCACCTTCCCCAATATTTTTGGCAAAAGAAGAGAACTGCCCTCGAATCCCTCCCTCTTCGTCGTCGATCTCGCTGCTTAGGTTTCCGGCAATGTCTTCGAGAGGGAGTTCCGGGGGCGATGGTGGGTCAGTATCGCTGGCGGCCCTCATGAAGCGGGAGAATTCGATTGAGAAGATGGAGAAGCCCGACATCCTCTCCGGACTCGCTAGCCACTGCAAGAAGGGAGAGGACTTCGCATTGCTCAAACCCGACTGTCAGCGTGTCCACGGGAATTGCGTCAGCACCGTCTCTGTGTTTGGGGTATCCTTCAACCTTTTTTTATTCTTATTGTTTTTCATGATTGGATGCGTAATTTGGGATCAATCACTCGTTGCTAGCGTGTCGGCGGGGTTTAATCTATGTGATGTGTGAGATTTAAGCATTATTAAGTTAGTTCGGCGTGGTTTTTGATGATATTGGCCGCTAAACGTATCGTCTGGTGAGATTGCGACAGGCTTTGTTCAACCTAGCTACTTCTGTTGGTTTCTATATCTAGCGGGTCTTGCTTAATCTTTTTGTTTTTTTTTTTAAATTAAATTGGTTTGTTGCTTTCTTCTTGTTTAGATCTTCTGTGATATGTGTGTGGATCTATTGTTCAAGCTGTTTTTTCGATTTTTATTTATTGCTTTCTTCTTTGTAGACTTTAGATTTTCTAAGATATGTCTGTTCTGCTGTACTCAGAAGAGCAAATAGTGAGGAGAAGATTAGAAATGTGTTGAAGTACTATTGAGTTATAATTATTAAAATGTTAAGATGTTGAATCGAGTCAGGTAGTAAGGATGTATGAACAGAAAATATGGTCCTTTTAAATAATCAACGCACTCGTTTTTTTTCATCCTTTGTATGGGTACTCACAGCAGTGTCAGTTACTGTTCCATTAAATGTGCTGAAATAGATACTAAAGGCATCTTATGTTGTCCATTTGCTGTTTTTTCCTTAAAAAGTCCTAATTTTGAACTATAGTTGGGAATTATCTTTAACTGAGAAAAGTATGGATTAGAACAACAGGTGAAAAGTGATTGCAAAGCCTGTATACCCTATTAATAGTTTGTTCTTTCACTTTCCATATGGTGAAGCACCTAAATGTAGAATGGGAGGTCATATTCTCTTTTTGAAATATTTTGGTGTTGGATTTTGTATCCACTAAGCTCTTGTTCATTCAGTCTTGAACATTTTGTTATGAAAATGGCGGATAGAATAAAGATGATTGTATAGATCATGGAAGGATGCTTATTAAAATTATGATGCAGCATTTACACAATTTTAGGTTAAAAAAAAGAATCAATTTTCAAACAACTTGTAAAATACCATTCCATGCTAATCCTTTTATATTTTCTATAGGACTTCAAGGTTACTTTTTCTTTGAAATATTTCTTTCTCATTCTGTATTTCTGCACATAACGTGCAACCATTTGTTTTTTTCAGATATTTGATGGTCATAATGGATCGGCTGCTGCTATATATGCTAAGGAGAACCTTTTAAACAATATTTTGCGTGCCATTCCTTCACATATTGATAGAGATAAATGGCTAGCAGTTCTTCCCAGAGCTTTGGTTGCAGGGTTTGTTAAAACGGATAAAGATTTCCAAGATAAAGGTAAGGATATCGCACTGTTTAGAGATTCTGCATTTTTCCCATGGTTTACCAAATGTTTATGGATTAGTCCACCATATTTGCTTTTTTTTTTTCATTTTATTTTGGTTAAGAATGTATTATTAAACTTTTGTGCATGTTTGGCAGTAATTTTTCTAAAAATTTTCTAGTTTGGACAAAATTTATAGGAAAAGAACATTCATAGGTTAGTATTAGCTGTTTCTTTAACTGGCTGAATTGTTTAATCTAAAGTTTAATTTCTAAATGGTTTATAAAATTGAGTTTACTGAATAATATCTTGTATGAAATGGAGAAGTATTATTTGTTATTTGTTTTCTTCACTCTTGAGATTGAAACTTAGTGGGATAAAGGCTTGTTATTGTTGTTGTTGTTGAGATTGAAACTTAAGTTTCGATTACACAACTTCTGTTTATCAATTTGATTTTATTCATTCTTTCAGCACAAACTTCTGGAACAACTGTTACATTGGTAATTATAGATGGGTGGGTAGTAACAGTAGCATCAGTTGGAGATTCCCGTTGTATTCTGGAATCTGAAGGTTCGCTTTATGTTCTTTCGGCAGATCACAGACTCGATGTTAACGAAGAAGAGTAAGTCAACTAATTTTTCATTATATAGATTTCCAAAGGTGAAGTTTCTATACATTTTCATGATGCATTTTTTTACAGGGTGGAGCGTATTACTGCGAGTGGGGGTGAAGTTGGTAGACTGCATGTTGCTGGTGGAGCGGAGGTGTGCTCTTACTCATGAGGAATCAATCTGTATTATGTTCCATATGAAGCTAAATCTGTGTGTTAGATATATATGGTTGAGAATGTGAATTAATTCTTAGTAGTATTCATTCTCCAATTAAAAAAAGGGGCATTTACATACATAGCACACAATTCTTTTCTATGTACATTTCTCACACCTAAACTTTCGTGTTCACTCGCATAGAACTTAAATCTTTAATATCACATTAAAAATAATACTATTATCACTTTTTAAAAGTTAAATATGCATTTTCATCATAGGTTTAAAACACGGTATAAAACACCAAATTGCTATGTATTAAATTTGAAAGTTTACGTGTGAGATATGTAAATACATAAGAATTGTGTGATACATATGTAAATTTAACAATAGAAAAGAAAAAAAGAAAAAGAAAAAAAAACCCTTTGTGTGTTAGACATTAATTTGTCCTTATCCAATGCTTTTTCCTCATCCATAGGTTATATTTCTGGAAATTATTTGTTATTTATTATTATTTTGCACTCTTTTTTGTGCACAAGGACTCCATAAGGTTTGTTGGTTGGGGTTCATGCAATCTCTTATGCGCCTTAAGTGCTGCTGATCCAAAATAGGCAAGAAATAGTTTATCATTTTAAACATTTTCATTATAAATTAAAAGCTGCTTAATGGACTCTAGGTAGACTGTTGTTTGGTCTTAAAATACTTTGTTCTTGTGACCACTTTTATGTGTTTGTTATAGTTATGTGAGAGGTGACGACCTAATGTAATCTTGAGGGCTTTTTTGGTTCAAAAAAGATTTTATTAATCAAATTTTGATGATCATATTCAATTGGGATTTAGTAAATCTTGATAGCGTTAAATCAAGGAGCAGTTTGGTTTTCCAATTCTTAAATCCAATCAAATCTCAGAACTAAAGTGAAAAACTCTTAAATCTCAGTTCACATGTTTTTGTTAAATCCTCATTTTCATCTAATTTTTATTAACACCTGTTCATTATTAGTCTAAAATTCAATTTAAATCCATTTAAACAGGCTTGTTACAGAACTTAGTTCTCCCTGAAACAATTAGCGTTTTCTGCAATTTCAGTTTTTTTTCTAGAATCTCTATTAACTGGTTCTATCATAGAGAAGGATACATTGGTGATGGTGAGATTGTGGTTTGATAGGCAAGGGAATCATTTTTGTTTAAATAAGGGATTTAAGGTTACAAGGCACTTTTGTCATAGGTGGATGGATGAATGGAGGGAAACTAGATTTAAACGTTGAGCCTATAACAGGACAGCTGAAGTTTCAAAGCGCTTCTAATTTCAAGTAAGTTTAAAAACTCCAAAGCCTGAATGACTACTGATTTTTAAAATATATTTTTCATGCAATGGGGAGTTGGTTATGTAGATATTTGAATGTTCATGTCCAGTGAGTTTAGTCGTTGGTGGCAAAGCAAACAATGAACCATGGAGAGGTTCCATCATTTGCAGTAAGGGTGCAAATTTTATTTTGTAAAACATAGTTTCCATGCATACTAGGTCCAAATTTTATTTTGTAAAACATAGTTTCCATGCACACTAGGTCTATGCTGTGGATTGTTTCTTAATTCTCGTCTCTCAATATCATGGGATTGATTGTTTTCTGGTGGGTGGTCTAGCTCGTCCTTACTACATTGGCATGATGAGTAGTGGAAGGGCTTTCAAGTGGAGGGCTCATTGAGGGCTTAGATTAGGTCGGGAAGAGCACAGGTTGAAAGTGAAGTGGAAATGGTGTCAGTAGTTAGACATCTCACAATGAAGAGCTTGAGGAATTCCCTTGTATTTTATCTTTAGCTCTTAATACCTGGCATCATTGAGCAACTTGAGATGATAATAACTGATGTCTTCTTTCATCCAAGCCAGATGTGAGAGGACAAAGAATGGAGCTGGAAGAAAAAAGAAAAGAGTGAGAGCTCAAATTGCTGATTGATTTATAAAAATCATTAACAAAAAATTTTTAACCTTGGGGAAACTTCATAGTTACCAGGGTTAGTGGGGAAACGACAAGCAAAACTCACAATTGGCTTTTTGCTCTACTTTGTATAACCAATTTAGCGCCTGCTAGCGTTTACGGTGATTTTTGGAAGGGAATGTAAAATTTGTTTACCTGATGATTGAAGTAGTTTATAATAGGTGGCTAAATCTAAATTGCTAAAAAATTAGTCGGTTCTAAAAGAAAATGACTTTCATGGGCTATAATTCATTATAATTGCAAAACGAAGTATGCATATTTAGGAAATATACAACATAACTAGTAAATGACTTTTTTGCTTTAGTAATGCAAAAATAATAGTATGCATGCAAGCACTTTGAGCAGGAAAATACACTTGAGAGTTGAGTCTACATTTTTAAGTTTTCCTTTTTTTTTACTAATACGATTACATCATATTATAATTAACAATTTTATCTAATTACTTGTGAATGTACCATGCGAATAATAAAACTTGATATATTATTTTTTGTTTAATAGTATGTTATGTTCATTTGACATAATTGTTCTACTTCTTGTCATAAATTAAAATTAAATTATTTTTATTGCAAATGGATATGATAGTTTACTAGCATGAAGTTAAACATGTGTGTTATACCAGTTTATACACTGGATGTTAGCCTGTAATGTTTTGTGGTTTACTATAGGTTTCTTAAAGTGCACTATGCATTTCGTTTTGTGTGAGTGCTATATTGTCTTTTCTTATGTAAAACATAATGATTTGATCAGCATTGTGATTGCTTTTGTATTATGAATGTGATTTTGGTGTGATTTTCAATTGAATTCGATAGATTACAATAAGGCAAATTTTTGCATTTACTGCTCCAAATATACAAACTCAGCTCTTCACCAAGTACTGAGTTTTTCAGCAATGAATTAAATTCAAACAAATTCTATCATGAGGCACTTGAATTCATATTAGCGTGAAGAGAATATTTTCATATTTATTTTTCTAAGGTTGGTTCTCTGTTCATCTAGACTCCATCCTGAACTCTATTTATATTAGCCAAGTTGCCGCCTTCGGATTTGACATTTGAAATTGGTTTCCAGATTGGACCCCTCAGGTGCTGGCCAGGCGGCTTGTGTCTTTCAAGATCAATTGGAGACATGGATGTCGGTGAATTCATTGTACCTATTCCTCATGTGAAGCAAGTAAATGTATATAACTATTTGATTGATTATTTCATTGCTATGAGCTCATGAGCATAAATGACTTATTTAGTCATGATTGAACTTCTTATGTCACTTTATACCATTCCACAGTTATCAACTACAGGTGGTCGACTTATTATTTCGAGTGATGGTGTATGGGATGCTTTAAGTTTTGAATCAGTTTTGCGGTGTTGTCGTGGGCTTCCACCGGATGCTGCAGCCAACCAAATTGTTAAAGTATTTTGTAAATTAATCTATGAGTTAAGTGTCAAAATAGTCCATTGACTGTTTATATGGGGTCATTTTAGCCCTAGAGTCTATGAATGTGCCAAATTTGTCCTCAAACTCTTTAAATTGGGGCTGAAATAGTCCTCTGTGGGACTGTTTCAAGGACTATTTCAACCCATATTTAAAGTGTCTGTGGACTAATTTATCACTTATATAGACTCCGGGACTAAAATGGTCCTCTGCAAATAGTCAGTCGACTATTTTAACCCTTCTCTCATTAATGGATAGCCTTCCATATATTCAATTTTTTAATGTTTATAGTTTTGCTAATAAGATGCTTGATTTCCAATTGCAGGAAGCTGTTCAGTTTAAGGGACTAAGAGATGATACCACCTGTATAGTTGTTGACATATTACCATTAGAAAAAATATCTCCTCCTGTTGCACCTCCGAAGAAGCAAGGAATGGGTGTATTTAAGAAAATGTTTCGCAAAAAGTCATCTGAATCATCATCTCATCACTTCAATGAAGATTATGCTGAGCAAGATATATTTGAGGAACTGTTTGAAGATGGCTCTGCGGTGCTTGCACAGAGGTTTGCTTTTTGTCTGCTTATGTAGCTCAGCTATATAAGTTCTGAAATCTAAATTTTTGCAGTCTACTTTTAAATATTTTATGTGGTTTCACTTTTTTGTAATAAAGGGTTAGAATAATTTATTGACTATTTACATGGGATCATTTTAATTCCAGAGTTTATCAAAGTGTTAATTTAGCTATTGTAATCTTTTATTGGGGCTAAAATAGTCCTCATTGGGGAGTATTTCAACCCATATTAAAAGAGTTTGTGGATTAATTGACAGTTTAATTAAGTCTGGGATTAAAATGATCCCCTACAAAGAGTCAAATAATCATTTTGACACTTTTCTCCACATTCTCGATATGCCCAAATCTATTTTAAATGTTGATCGTATTTTCTAGCTAAAGAAAAATCATGTTTTCATCTTTTGCAGGTGCATTTTGCAGTAGAACATGATTCCTTTGTTTTAAATCATTAATTACTCTCACAACTACAACAAGAAAATACTAGTTGTCTTTAGAAAATCTACAAGCTTGTTGCTAAAATTTACTACATTCAGATCATGCTATAAAATTAAAATCTCTAAAATCTAAAGTCTAACGGGTAAACTTAATGCGATGTTTGGTAGCATATTAATAATAGGATTTAAGGATTGATTTACCTTAAATTCAGCCAAGCACCAAAAAGCTGAAGATTAAATCCAACGCTCAGTTAAAATGAATTTTTCTGAGTTCCGTCTTTTCCCCGACGTAAATTTCAATTTACTAATTCTAGGTGAGAGGCAGATTTGTTTATTATCGCTCTCAAGCTTTACTGTCAAAAACAAATTCAATTTATCGGATTTGATAAATCCTACTTAACATATAAATCTAAGACGCAGCCAAACACCCGCCGAAGGCCTATCTGAAAACTATTATGTGGATGACATGATCTTGAATCAGTATTTGGTAGGAGCTTTAGGTTGAACTTAATTAAATTACTAATCAGGAACAAGAAATTTAATGATATTTGGGTTAGTCAGACATCCAATAAATTTATCAAAAAACTGTGAACTCGAGTTTGCACATGATTGACAAGGTCGAAATCACTGGAGGTGAAGGAATGATAATCTTCTCATTACGTACAGAAAATGTTTGTTCCTTTTGTTTTGTTTTGTTTTATTTTTTTCTTTTTTTGATTTTTTATTTTATTTTTCTTTTTGTGGAGATGAGAGTTTTCTATAGTGCAAATCTATGGTTCTTTATTTGAAAAGTAACTTAAAAGGTTTGCTTGACTTGTCCTTGGAAAACAAGTTATTTGTATGCATTTGGAAGTTACAGAGAATATTACAATTTTGCAATATTATCTAAACATAAAACAGTGAAAAATGTGATTAAATTGGATTCATCTTTATATTTTCAATTTCCACAACTCTTTCTTGGATTTGTTCTAGTTAAAATTTGAGCATCTACTCTGAATTGACGAGTTCTTTATCATACTTTTTGCAGGTTGGACTTGGATTATCCAATATGCACCATATTTGGTCTTTTTGCTTGCGCGGTTTGCCAGGTTGATATAAAACCTGGTGAGGGTATTTCTGTGCATGCAGGCTCATCAAAATCTGGAAGCATCCATCCCTGGGATGGCCCGTTACTTTGCACAAGTTGTCAGGCTAAGAAAGAAGCCATGGAAGGCAAAAGACCTTCAAGAGGTAGCTATAACAGAACTTGTTACAAATATATTCTTATTTGGGAAAAGTGTCAACATTATCCCCTGACTATTTAGAAGTGATCATTTTAATCTCTGAGTCATTGAAAATGCTAATTTAGTTCTAAGATTTTTTTTTTAATAGAGATTGAAATGGTCCTTTTTTTTTAGAAGTATGGGACTAGATGTGTTTCGAACCCTCACCACTATGATTGCAAATGAAGCCCTCAACCATTTGGCCACGGGTTTTCAACACCAGGAGGCCATTTTAGCTGTGGAGTTTATAAAAGTGACAATTTAGTCCAGTGAAGACTATTTTAGACTTCATTAAAGCAGTCTGTGAACTAATTTACAAATCTTTTTAGAAATTCTAGGACTAAAACGACCCCATCTAAATAGTCGGAATTATTTTGAACTCATTCAATCTGGCCTTTATAGGGGACTGTTTTGACACTTTTCTCGCTTTTATTTATACGCCGAAAAGCATCTTTCTATTGATTTTCTTTCTTGTTACCTATCCAACAATCCCAGATTCATCTAAAAAGAAAGATGGAAGTGAATAGCCAGTTTTCCTTATAATTTGTGGTGTTCCATTTTTATAAGCACCCAAGCAGTTCTGCTGAGCTCGCAAATGAGATTTCTTCCACATTACATAATCAACAAGGGAATTAAGATTCAGTTGTAACACCTGCTGCTTCCAGACGGCATCATTAGTATAAAATCACAATTTTTTTTCCAGGCAGAATGCTAAAATTGGCATTTTTATGATTCAGTAACTTCAGATTTTTTGGGCTAGCAGATTTTTATATTCCTTTGTGGAGCAAAGCCATTTCAGCTTTAGGAATGAAGGCTTTGAATGATTTAATTGATTTTAGATTAATTGTCATGTAAATGTATCATTTTATATAGGTATAAGTGAGAGCAGAATAAATTTGTATTATTTTTAGTACTTGGCTTTCTTAATGTCAAACTTACAAGAAATGAAGGTGCAAATTTAAATTTACAATTAGCACATTATTTATTTCATTAGATATTTTTCCATGTTATTTTGTGCTAAGTTTGTTATGTGGATCATCAATATATTTTTTTTATATAGTTTTCATTCTGCAATTGGTGATTGGCTTCTGAAGTTTAATTTGAGAATTGAAGGTGTAATTAGGGCTGTCAAAACGGCTCGTTATTCGCGAACAGCTCGTGTTCGGCTCGTTAAGAATCTCGTGTTCGGCTTGTTCGCTAAGTTAACGAGCCGAACACGGCTCGTTTTGGCTCGAAATACTACTAATCAATTATATATATATATACATATCTTTGATGAGTAGTATTTTTAAAAAAATTGATTGACCATAAGACTAAAAAGATATATAATCAATTAAAAGTATTAATGAAGAAAATAGAATAAAAACTATTAATTTAGATTCAAATGATTTTTAAATCTTGCCCCAATCCTTAACATCTTATGGTCACGTGATTAGGGTTGTCAAAACGACTCTTTGTTCGTCAACGGCTCGTGTTCGGCTCCCTAAGCAAACGAGCCGGACAGAAACAAACCTTTTTACACGAGCTGAGCCTCATTTACACCTCTTTGCTCCATGATTTTATTTGGAAATTTGTAGTATTTATTTGCATGATGAAAGAATGATTTCTGTTGGTATTACATGTAATTACAAGTCAAAACGAAATTCAAATTCCATAAATTTTGCCAAATTAAAAATTGCACAGGCAAACGTATAAGAATACGATCACTTAGTTCTGTGCTCACTGACAATCATGATTAGTCATTGATAACAGCTGAGAAGGCAAAGCTTTGCTTATTTTTACTAACTAAATTCAAGAATAGATGTACCAAATTGCTACTAACAAAAAAATTCTGAGGTCATTTGTTTTGCCCTTTTCTTCTGATTATTTAATCAACTAAAAACACACACACAGATATATATATATATATATAATATACACAAAGAGATATCGTGTGAGATGAGTAAGAGAGAGAGAGAGAGAGAGAGAGAGACGCACACACGTGTGCACTGCTGAATTTTCTTGAATTTTATCAAATTTGTAATTCCTATAATTTTAATTTAAATATATACATAAAAAATGTGTCAACAGTGATCCTGAGAAGAGCTAATAGTTTAGGAGGAGAGTACGATAAAAAAGGGTCATCCAATAAAAAATTTGGAGGCTCTATTATCTGATTGAATGCAACTGCCTGAGTCAAAGCAAACAAGTCAAGTCGAATGAGCCACGAAGATGATTGATTAGAATATGAGTTCTTTGATCATAAACGAGAGAGAGACATCCAAACCAATTGGTAGAAGAACTAGAATCAAAGGTAGATCTAATCTCTTTACATCTCCAATCAAATCAGGATATATAGATGACTCCCCATATATAATCAAGAGTCAACAACCAAACTAACTCAGACGATCGAATCAGTCTTGCCTCAGCCGAACGAGCGAGAGAGCTATGATCTGATAAGCTCATATATGTAAAATAAATAGAATACATTGTACAATTCTTATTAAAATAGGTGCAACAATATAACATCACCATATTGTATTTTGTACCTTATAAATAGGGAAATCATTTCATGTATAAAAGAGGGTAGATACACCAAATTTTAGGCAATAAAGATCATGAAAGATCAACATGATTGATATAATTTATTGTTCACTATTATCTCTATTTTTCTCCATCTATCTCTCTCTCTCCTCCCTTTCTGATGCTTTGTTCTTTGGAGTGTGATTCACGGACAAATTGGCATTTTGGACATTTTACAAAAGTAGTTAAAATACATTCCCTCTTCCATAAATATATAATGCATGGTGCCAAAGAATGTTGAATCATTATCATGTGAGATACTTTCTAATTTGCAACTAGAAGGCAAAACTTGCTTCAAAAGCAAGGAAGTGCCAAAGCATTGGCTCTACTAAGCCCTTACACTTCAGATGGCTTTCTTTCTTAAAAGCAAAGATAAACCAAATCATCCTCTCTCTTTGATTTGGATGTTGGCCTAATTGAGCCTTTAGATTGGGAACCTCCCATGTGGACTGCTGCCTTCCTCCGTCCCCACACCTCTTTTGAACCATAACTTAAATTCTTTTGAGCTCGTTCAAAGATTTAACAGAGCCTAAAAAATAAGATTTTTAAGTTTTGACAACAAAAAATAAGATTTTTATTCAAAGATTATTAACAGAGGCCAAAAAAATATTTGTCTTTTAAGGTGATTTTTATTTATTTTAAAAAATAGCCTTGATCTTGAATTATTCTAAGTAAAAATGACTAAAGAAAATAATAGAAGTAACATAAAACTCTTATTAGGCATATAAAAGTTTGATTAATTACAGTTTTTAAATTTACGTTTAGATACTAATTAATATTTTATTAATTATTTTCTTTATTCTTATATATAAAATGCCAAATAAAAATTTAATTTTAAATTTCACCAACTAAATCTAAAATATAAAGTGCCAAATACAAATTTAATTAACAAAATATGGATATTTTAATAATTATTCTCTTAATTCTTAAAAAATAATGTCAAATACAAATTTAATTGCCAGATTAGTTCTATATTAACACCACTAATTACTTAAAAGTTTTATATATATATATATATATATTATTGTATGCTTTATTTTAGGCTAGATTTATAAGTTTTATTAAATCCTACTTGTAGCCACACATGCAGCCCTTAAGATTGGTTGAGCATGCATGATAAGATAAGATATTGTTAATTAACCTTGGAGGATTATAATGTAAAAAAGGAAGAAACTATGCAAAGAAATTAGAAATAAGAGAATTTACACTTCACTACCAAACACTTCAAAAAATGAAATCATGCAAGGAATTTCCCTTTGAAATTTACATAACTAATTAGTCCTTTTCACCCTTCATTTCAACTTTATAAACGTATCTTTATGCATATAATTTCTTGTCAGTGATAGAGATGTATGCATAAATATCCTTTGTGGAATAATTTTTCTAAGAGGAATTCCATACAGAGTTTTTGTCTACATAAAGACTGTTTATGAATGTGATTTATGTGATGGTTTGATTTTGTTTATGTTGTTATGTAAGTGTTTTTGTCCTATATGCATATATTCTTTAAATCTAAGTTAACATGCATACCTTATATATTCTATGTGTTTACATAACTAGCATCTAAGGTTTGATATTTATATTGATAATACAATATTGCATATATATAACTTATGCATAAAATAACAGCGTCATAAGTTATTAGTTAAGCAAATATATTGTTTACATTTGAATCCTACAAATCATTATTTACTTGTGTGCAATATTTGATGCAAATCATGAATCTCACAAAAACCCTGAATATGTAAAATTGGAACATAAATTGACTTGATTTTAAGAAAAAATTGCTTGTGTTGGGAATGACCCGTGAAGATTTTGTTATTGTTCGGCTCGAAAAAATATTCGTGTTCGTTTCAACTCATAATTGACTGAAATATGCTCGTTTAAATTAATTTTAAGAAAAATAGGCATAGAGTGCAAGATATAAACATGCATACTTCCTATAAGAGCTATGGTATTTTATGAGATATATTTTTTACATAGAAATTTACTTTTGTTAGTGTGATAAAAGACGCAGAACCACAAAACCACACGAGCTATACTGATTTAAATATATGTATAATTTTCTTATTTTGAAAAACAAGCCAAACACGGTAGAATAAAGAGCTGTTCATGTTTGACTCGTTTATAATCCTAGCTCAAAAGATTTGTTCATGTTTGGTTCTCTCACTTAATGAATGACTCATATACAAGCTACTTAACAAGTCGAACACGAGTTATTTCGAGCGACAAGCTTTTTTGATAGCCCTATATATGAAAGACACATTATCATGCATAAGTAAGATGATATGTACGTACAAAATAAAGTGTGGGTTTTAGATATGTAAATACATAAGAATTGAGTAGTATGTATGTAAACGCTCTTATACGTAACCTTGTACAACCTTATCTATAAAAAATAGAATTATTTTTGGAGGGCTATTTTGTAAATAACAGAAAAGATAACTACTTAATCGGCCGGGGACAATAAATTTGGCCGAAGGAAGTTGTTACAGTGTCCATGCATAAGTGTGGTCCCTTATTCCAGCTAGCTCATCATAAGGATATTTAAAGCATGTTCTAATAGGAAAAAAGTATAATAATTATTAAAAAGTTGGCATCACATGAGACAAAACTAATGTAGCATTCTGATTTGGACCAATTTAATCCCCATAATGCAAATATATTTTACTGGCCAGCATATTTTTCTTCTTGTATAGATAAAACTGGTAAAATTGAATTATAGGTTTTTGATATTTAAATACATAGGAATTGGGCGATATGCATGTAAATCTTCCAAATAAATTTCATATATATATATATATATATATATGAAATTTATTTTAATCATATATGTTGTTCTACATTAAGGTGCCATATTCTCTTATTCTACGTACTTTTTCTCTCATACAACAACAACAACAACAAAGCCTTAATCCCACTACGTGGGGTCGGCTACATGAATCCTTTTTCTCCATTGCGTCTTATTTAGTGTCACATTTTCATTTAGTTCAAGTAAATTAAGATCATTTTGAATACAATAAGCCCAAGTCTTCCTAGGTCTACCTCTGCCTTTCTTAACACAAGTCAAATCTAAAACGTCTACTCTCCTAATCGGATCATCAGATGGTCGACGTTTAATGTGACCAAACCATCTAAGACGTCTTTCTCTAATTTTGTCTGTCACAGGAGCTACACCAACCCTATCACG